CCTTAATGATGTGTGTTTGTTTGTGAAACCCACCAGTCGCTTTTAACAAACCACAACAAACATCCACCAAATAATGCATTTTTAATTTATTGACTTTTTTGACAAACCTTCAGCGGGAATTAACATATGTATACAGTTTTTTTTATATATATTAATGTTGCCTTTATTGATGGTTTTATTTATATATACATAACAAAATATTTACATAACAAAAATCAACTCCATTAAATTACACTTGTTTAAACTGTAAACAATATACAAATTTAGGTAATTGGAGTGTTGATTGTATTTTTACTTAATAATAAAATTAATTTTTGTTTAAACAATTTGAACTTTTAACAATAATTGTGATAGTATTAATGCAAAATAAAATCTAGTCTAAACTAAAAAAAAATCTGTTGTTATTCATAATTATTACTGAAGTTATGATTTGATGGTTTTGATCAAAAAAAATATGGATTTTGAAAAGTACAAATATTAAGTCTAAAGGATTTTTTTCTTTAAACTTTCTTAAAATAAAAATTCACGAGTTGAGAGTTTTTGGTATTGAGTTTATAAAATCATTTTTTATTGCTTTTGTTCTAGTTTTAAACTGATAAATTGTGTAATAATAGGAACACCATATTGTTAAAAAAAAAACTTTGGAAATCTAGAAACTTGTGCTCGAGGGTAAATTGTGCTCGAGGATTTCCAAATAGCGGGCAGGTTTATTTAACGGCTTCGGGCAGTGTTTAGGTAGGGAAAATGGGGTTCGAGGGCGCCGGATTCACACGATCCGCACTGGAAACCGGAGATGCGAAAAATGTGTCGATCAATTAAACTATGTCAAATTCAAACATAAGTCGGATTTGGGCAAACAATGGATGAAATGGAAATCACGAAGCGGGGGTCGGTTAAGCTGGAAGGTATTTATAGACAAACAGTGTTTGTGAGTATACCGTTGTACTAAGGGCCTATACACATCTCAGCCAGACGCGTAGTCGAGACGTGTGCATATCGAAAATTATTTACATCCCTCCCTTAAAATTTGGGTTCATTATTTATCGTCCATCAGGCAAGGATTTGCGCCGGAAGAAATCCGTCGATTTCAGATGATTAGTTTAATCGATGGATTGGCGTTCCTTTTAAAGCATACTGTAATTAAAACATTCACAAGCCACGGATTTATGAAGCCGTAAATTACGCAAAGCGACTGTAATTTATTTGCAATTTTAATTGACAACGCCATAGCGAAGATACTTTTTTTTTACTACGATGCATCGCATTTTTTTCAACTCATTCATATTAATGAATAATGCAGCTTTATTGAATATGATTTACATCTGAAAGATATTAAATATGAAACGGAAGTATTGATTAAAAAAATTCCATTTGCTGAGTATGTACTTAAAAGTATTTGGAAACTGTAGAAGTATCGATCGAAGAAAGAAACAGCGTGAAATATAGATGACACAAGATCAATCGAAGTACGTGTATGTTTCTCATGAAGAACGCTTTTGATACTCCAAGGTTTCGGTATAAGATCAGATGTTATAGAAGAGAGCATTTCTTAGATCTTGTAAGAGGGCGAAAAGTGCTGATTGTGTCAACCAAGAAAAAAATAGCAAAAGAAAACCGGAAGAAATAGAGGACAATAAGAACGTCGATTTAGAAGTAAGCAATATTAATTAAAGGGTATTACTTTCCACCCTAAATCCCGCATCATTTGGTTGTTACTATCGCAACCTGCTTATCTTCTTTCCCAAATGAAACCTAATAAGGTTGATGAAATGTATTTATTCGTCAGTCTTTACGACTAACCTTGTTCCCTCTCCGTACATTTCGTTGCATAATTCCCCATACGCACATAAAAATAAACAAGTACAGAATTTCATTGCTTCCTGTTTTACAAACCTAATAAACGCATTCGTAAATCTAATCCGGTCATCAACTCATGTTAATTCCTTAAATGAGTTGCGATTAACAACAAGCTGGCTGCAATTTAGACGCTCGGAATTGCTTTCGCATCGTAATGACAACGTGACCATCGCGGTTGGAAACGATTGATGGAAAGTGGAGACGAGCTAATGGAAAAATTCGATTCTTCGATGCATAATTTATACCAATCGAGTCTTTTCAAATTGCGCGAAAACTAAAAGCATTCCCAATTTTTTTTTTTTGCATCCCTAATTTTATTTTTTAGAGTAGCCGCATTAACACACCCCGAAAAAAATTGACACTTAGGGTAGAAGAATGGGCGCGAGGGAAAGTTCGGGTCTAATTATCTAAGGACGTGTCTGTGGAATCAAAGTGTCCGCATTTTATGTGTTACGTAAAAGGGGGAAGACTTTTATGAAACGTCTCGTCATACAATTGGAGCGAATAGGGAAATGTGACATATTTATTTTCCGGAACGCGTGTTGCCCTAAAATAAAGTTGATAAACTTTATAATTAAAAAATCCCTGCATTTGATCACCTACCACCATCCTGTAACGGTATTTTCAGAGGAATTTGGAAACAATTCCAATACTGAATACACTAAATATTACATTATCTTTACCATTATTAGATAACTTAAGGTATTTTGTATACAACTTTTCAGTGAAAATATGACTACAACATATAAAACTATTTGTACGAAAAAAAAAATGTAATTTATAAACAAAAAATCCAAATTGAAAGTTGTTTACGTCGTAAGAAACTGAAACGTAATTGGATTAAAACAGAAAAAAAAAACGAGAAATGTTATATAATAAATTTCGAGAGAGCTGAAGTCGGGAAACAAAACAGAACAAAACAAAAAAGTTTTGATGAATATAAATTCATTAGGTGTACTTTTCAGCGAGGTGTGGTGTTTCTCGGCGATTTACTGAATGCGGGCTTTTGCTTCGTGTTGTTTTCATTTCCGTGGATTTTCGGTCCATTTAAAATGATTCAATAAACATTTATTATTAATTATGGAGGAGTGTGTAACGCGGTTCGCAATTTGCGTTCGAACATATAAATTAATGATGTTTTAGCGCTCCGATAGCTCTTCTGTATTGCGAACAAAATAATCCACCGTTCGATCTTTTTGTTTTACGTCATTCATATATTTAATGTGTTATTAATAATCGGCGAATTTTCAATTCAATATAGAATAATATCATGATGTTACGACGTAGGTGATTCCAGTGTTGGAAATTTGATACGAAACAAGGTGTGTCGTTAAATGAAATTATACGAAATTAATTACGTTCTATCGATAATAAATCATTTATGACTAAAATTGACATAAAGTTCTCGATATTTCGTAGTATTCACATTTCTAATGTCATTTACATCTTCCAAATCAGTTTGATAATAGATTTTTATAATATTATCTAATATGAACTCTTCTTTATATAATAATAACTTCCACCTCCAAAACTTCCATTAGTTCAGAAATGTGATCTAATTTCAACTAAACAAGAGCGGTTTATTTTTTCATACATCATTTTTCAGGCACAACACAAATCCTGTAAGATTCCTATAAAATAAAGGATGTAATTTCAAGTAACTTAAGACGGAGTTTAGTTAAGAGGGGTCTATATCGCAAGCCTGATAACCGAAAGACCGTCTATTGAAATCTCGGCTGTATCAAAACACCGACGTTCGAAATCCCGACTATATCAAAATCTCGACAACTATAATCCCGACTATATCAAAATCTTGACTATATCGAAAATTGTTACAATAACATTTTTAAATTACTATACTTTTATTATTAATAACAATAAATTATTATTAATTTATTTTATTTTGTTGAATTATTCATAATAAACCTTAACATTATAATAGTTTCAAACACAGTTAGATTATTAATTGTTATTATTTATTATTAATAACAATTTAAAAGTCACTACGCTCCGGAATAATTTAAAAATGTTATTGTAGACATTTTCGATGTAGTCGGGATTTTGATACAGTCGCCATTTCAAATGTCGGGATTTCGGTTGTCGGGCTTGTGATTGCCACCGAGTTAAAAGCACTACAAGAAATACACAAACACACTTATAGAAAAAATTTAAAAAAATGAAGAAATAAAAAACCAGCATAAAGTTATATATAATTGGAGAAACAGAAAATAGAAACATTTATAGAACAGAGAAAAGTAGAAAGGAAGCATTGAACATCAGCATAGTAATGAAGGGAATAAAATCTTATAATAGGTTGCCCAGGGAAATGAAGGAACATAATGTTAGAGATTCCAAAGAACTGCTGCAGCGAGGCAATAGCAAATTCAATTAAAAAATTGTAAATAAATTGTATATAAGATAAATAAATAGTAAACATTCTTTAATTCGGATAATGCGTATTCGTATTTATTCCTCAACAATTCGGCATCTATTATGGATAGAGAGCAATACTTAATCACTTATTAATCGGCGACCTAAAGAAATCTAGACGTCTGCGTCAATAATTGTAGAATAATTGAACAATGAAGTTTCCGCACTCTATTTCGTAGGAACGCAATTAGCTTGTCTTTTCCATAATTAATCACGGTTTCATCGTGTATTATTGACATTTCGTGTTTAGCTGAGATATACAATATTTCTTTTGATCATTCTTTCAAAAAATATACAGACTGCCTCAAACATTTCGTAAAACCACATCATGAATTATGCATGTAGGTTTTATAATTAAATAAATGAAGAATATCATATAAAGTTTTAAAGATTGAAAAATATATATTTATTCTTAATTTTCTATTATTATCTGCTTATTTTAATGATTTTTTAAATTTCTAATGTAGGCAACCATTATTACACATAATAAATCAACTATCGTGCATTAAAATGTCTTGTCTTTGTATTTAAAAATATTATATAATATATCGTGTTTCTTGAAGCCACATATAAGGTGCACCCAGTTTTTAGACCTTTTTTTTGTTTAAAAAGGGTGCGTCTTATTCTTGTAGAATTACAGTATATGTTTGTTATATATAAATACATAATTTTAAATATATTTATTAAACAAAATTTACAGAACCATACAACAATTAAATAGAAATAAATACAATTGATTTAAAATTAATAAAATGCTAAATGTTGTGAATATTAATAAGTACTACTAATAATCATGAGAAAACGCAAATGCTTCTTCATTCTGTCCAAACCATACAATTCCAATGTAAGTCATCAATCGCTATCATCTTCCATGCGGACTTGCTGTTTCTGCAACCCTTCTTGCAGCTGCAGTACATGTGCGATCGGTTCCGGGCGTCCATCCTGCCCTATCCTGCAGGGTTTCACAACTCCTGTCCTTGTCAAATTGTCCATCATTTCTACTAATTTCATGGCCTCATATTCTTTCTGAAATCGATGTATAAGGATTATATTTTCTTTTTTAAATATTGCATATTTACTTGTTCTTCGGTCATATTAGCTATTGGATTCGGATGCGGCGGTTCATAGCATCCCATAACTGGATTAATACAGTGCTTTAGTTGTTTGTATTCTTCGGTGTCGCTGTCGCCGCTATCAGAGCTATACTCGGAAGTGTCCGTCTCCCCAAGACCCAACAAACCGCGGCCTGCGAGTAGTCCTGCAGCGTTTCCGTAACCGGTATACTTCACCATTCGATTAACTGGACAAGGAAACAATATATCAACTACTTAATACTTTTCTTTTCCAGTCAACAATTACCATTTTCTTTGCAAATCACAAAGAGCAATTCAGCAACTACCTGATGGATCTGTTTAATAGGACACGTTAAAAGTCGGCATAGGTGATTTCTCAAGGAATTTCCTTGCTCCGGTCTGTTTATAACATCCTTGAGCGGCGGAAGTATATGTATCCGCAGATATTTTCGCATGAAACGATCTACCTGTGCCGCCTTTAATAATACTGCTAAAACAGGCGGAAGCGTATCTCGCTGCTTGCTGAACGTCTACAAAAATGTTTATAATACTCGCAAGAAAAACAAACGACAAATCTCTTACATCCGCTTCATCGAGTTTACATTTTAGATAACTAAGAATTTCATGTAAGGCCGTCATGTTCTGTTCCTCATACTGCAACTCTTTGGCAACGATTTCTCCATCTAAAATTGGCGTCCTCAATCCTTTAAAACTATTCATTGGCATACAAGTCATCAAGTTGATAATGTGATTATGCAATTCCAATTTTTTCGCAGGATTGCATACATCGAATACCAAGTAATCGTGCAAAATAATCACGAGCCTCATATGACAAGCAACTTCTTTCTCGTCCATGTAAGATTCGTGCATAGTCGCAGATAAATTAAATAAAACTTTTAAAATTTCACAAGCCAAATTGACTTGATCCTCCTACATCAAAAAAAAATTGTTACTACTTCTTTAAATGAATAAAATAAAAGCAATTACAGATAGTTCCTTATTGGATTCTTTCAGGATCAAATCCAAAGTTTCAATCAAATATGTAGATCCATGTAAATCCTTTTTAATTTTAGACCGGACCTCTGAGCAGAGTGCAGTGATCAAGAACAGTATTCTCATATGGAAGAACTTTATTTCTGTTGGCAACATGGAATCCCTGAAAATTATATTTAGTTTAAATGTAAATATTTTTTACGTTCCAACCTGTATGTGCGAAGTCTCATAATTATAGCCTCAATAGTTGCATTTTTGCAGCTCATTGCAACAGCAACTTCACTATTGTAAATGATGTTTGAGAGGCATTTTAAGGCCTCCACATTCAATTCATAATTTGGTTCTGCGAATTGATTGGCATCTTTACTGAGATTGGCATGATTTACTATTGAATCCAGCAATTTTGTTGTGACCAGTTCATTCAAACCAGTCTTATCTCGGCTACAAATTAAGCATAATTAAATTACCAATATTGATATAATCAATTACCTTAATATCCGAATAGCAGATAATGTATTCAAGTGCAGATCATGTTGCTTTTTATTGATTAATATTTGACCAAGTGACTGCCAAAGATTTTTTCTATAATTATTTTGATTGAGTTCAGGGAAGCTGAAGGACTTGGAACTCTGAAATGGAAGAACATGTAGATTGCAGGTTAATTTTATTGAAGTGGAGATGTTATACCTTTGCTAGAAAATTGTTTAGAGCTACTAGGGCGTTGGCATGATCCCCTGATATCAAAGTTTGCACATCACAATCCATGTTTTTTGCGATTTTCAATGAAGTTAATAAGTTAAAGACCGCAATAAAACTGAGCAAAACACAACTCCCACCCTAAACCACTCAATATCAACAAATCAACTCGATTTCGCCATCTGTTTACTCTTATCTACGAGAGCACAGATGGCGCAAACTAACTAATCGAATTACTATTTTCTAATATAAAGATTTCAAATTGAACTAATTTCAGTCAGTATTTCAGTATCCAAGATAAATGTATACAAATCCAATTATAGTTATATAATGTTCAAGTTCTTGGATTAAAATAAACTTAATAAAGCTCCAATTACATTTACAAAATTTAATTAATGCATATAGTATACAATTAACACATGCTACACCTTAATTATATAATATTATAAGAAATATCCATCATTGTAAATGCCTTACTTCAGGGATTTACAATAAATTATACTAAAAATACAGGCAACCAACATAGCATAATATTAAACTTCTTCTTCTTCCTTTCCCATCTTCATTTGGCTTCCGCATTACGCGCCAATAAGCCAGTCCCTGTCTGTGTTCTTCGGATTCTTCGGATTTCCTCTTCCGTCCAAATAGTTAGGCTTCTAATTACACCAAAAATTTCCCTCTTCAAAACAAATAATCAAAATAAACGACTTCTTCTAACGAAACTAAAAAAAAACTATTAAATCCAACTTAAACTGACTTCTATAAAATATGTACATAGGTGAGATACGGCAAGACAGGTAAAGACAATAAAGGTAACGGATCGACCACAAATATATAACGAATTTCAAACCGGGGTTTCAGTTCAGTACTCAGGTTCTTGGAGAGACCTCGGAAAAGTATAATTTAGAAAGGTTAATATTAAACTTAATTGTAATTAATTAACACGCATCTATCAATTAAAGTTATTCTCAAGATTAAAAGTTAAATCAATTATAATTTAATATTTGTAGATATTCAGAACACTAAAATAATGAAACAATTATCATAAACCTTAAAAAATGATATATAAAATTTTATAAATGTTTAGTATCGTAGGTAAACCTATATTTATTGTTATTGTTTGTTGCAAGTGTTGTTTTTAAAAGTTTACTTCCTTAAAACGTAAACATTGGTCTAGTATCCTGAAGATGGAGCTACACGGTCATATCTAGGACATTTGTATAAAGATATTAAATAGTGAAAAAAATCCCTTTAGCTAGAATTCAATAAAATTAAATAAAAATTGAACTACTGGTTTAATTATTACTAATATAAATTTTAAATAGTTTATTACTTTTTTTTATTAAAACGCATTTAAGTAGAAAATTTAATTTTCAATTTATTGCAGGATCTTTATAAAGACTACATATAAAATCATCTTTTATAATTTACATCTTTTTTAAAATAATACAATGTTTGCAAATAATTGTTTTTTATTATATTTTTGCTGATATTACTCATTCAAATGGTCAGAGTATAGACTAGGTTAGGTAATTCGATTGCCGGATTTATCTTCGTTTCAGTTGGAAAATGCAGAAATAAACAAAAGAGTGGACACGACTTTAATGAATGCTTTAAACTCTATTCAATATGCTATAAACATGTCGGATGCGACAGCCAATTTGCTTTCATATATATTACCTTTCCTGCATGCAGTGCCCTTTTCTCAAATAACATATTTATATTTTGCATGCAGTCCAATTTAACAAACTGTCTATTCGTTATATTTTTTATAATCAATACAAGTTTACCTGTAAAAACAATATTTTCATTCACGGTAAAATAAAAACAATAAAATTGTTAGAATTACAATAAAAAAATGACCAAAAATTTAAACATCATGAATTGGTGATATTGATAAGTTATAATTCTACATACGTTTACTTATAACTGAAGATCCTTGATGTAAATCTAATATTAATTGGTTTAGTTCTTGATTATAATTAGGTTGTGAATATGTGTTATGTAATTGTAATGATAATATTGTAATTATTACGTAGGTTATCATTCAGGGTGATTAATCCAGGTATATTTGTTGAAAGTATTAATCAATTTCTTTAATTTTTGATTATGTAGAAGAATTGAGGAAAGTGGTAAATGGGAGGAAGAGGAATGCATTCTGCAAATGAAGTTCATGCTAACTAATTAGTCTGAACTAGTTAAAGGGAGTGTGTTCGTGATAGAGAGGACGTGAATAATGCGGGATCCTCGTGTTTTGTGTATATGTCCGAGTGTTTAATTTTGTGCCGGTTTTCGTCCGAGGCAAAGTGCGGGATAATGTTGTGCGGTAAATAAGGATTTCGCACGGCGGACGCGCTAATTCCCTTTTCAGGAAAACTTTGACAGTAATAGGGAGCCGTAATGTGGCAGAGGAGGACGCGGAGGAAAGGGCCTCGGTCGAAACTGTCTTAACTAAGCTGTAACTTTTAATGATCAATTAACACACCTTTGCACAATTGACATTACAAACATCAAAATAGTTGGACGGGTACATTTGTTATCCGCGTTTGTTTTCTTCCAATTTTTTCGCCGCAACGTATTTTTACGGTGCAGTCGTTTAATATTAATAGACACGAGCAGGGGGTTTCATTAAATTATCAACACACACACGGCGACACAGTATTAATCATGCCTGTCATTTGGTCAGTCTTTGATTGATGATGTTTCGCACGTTCCTGCATGTACGTCCATCTCCCATCCGCAGATGCGTGCTTCTGTGCGAATTGAACGTGTAAATAATAAATGTCCATCTTCTTGGATCGCCTCCGGAGAAAGTCTGAAAACAAATAGAAATAAAAATGGAACTTCTACAAGTCCGATGATCATAAATGGGATTGTTTCAACGAGGTTAAAGCGAAACAGATTTCCCTTCCAATAATAATACCCTTTATGTCAATAGGACAACTTTCCGATCCTCGTGCTTCGACAAGCTTTATTGAACATCTTCTGTTACAACATCCAACGTCCCTTTAAAACAATCTTCTTTTTACTTCCATATATAAAAAAAATAGAATTTCCAAATTTAGTCTATTTTTATTAATATTTCGATAACATTTAATCATCCTTCATCGTGTTAAATTTTAGGAATTTTAAATTTATTGATTGGATACAGATTTAATTGGATATCTTCGGATTTTGCAGACTTTCCGGATTACTTCATAGCTTTTTTTTTTTAATAAAGAGATTTAAGGGTGACCAATAGCCGAATGGTTAAGTTGCCCTATCCACGATTTCGTGGGCGCCAGTCAAGCCAGGCCCTTTGTGAGTCCTCTCGGTGCTTGCAGCAATAGGACCATCGTTCTTCACAGATGGACAGTGAAATGAATGAGGTTCAGCATATGGACCTTCAGCCAAGTCGATGGACAATGTTAAGGATAGCAGCAGATTTACAGTCAAAGGAAATAGTGGAATCGCAGAGCATCAATATACTACTGAGGTTAACCTACAAGACGACAGCCAACCAACAAATCAAATCATAATGGTATCCACCGGGACAGAATATCCATTTAATGTCTTAATTAAATTCGTCTTGTTAAACCAGGAAACTAGATCTGCCTTCATGGAATTACATAAACTTCATTATACAAATTATTAATTAAAAGTTGTATTTTAAATTAAGGATATTGTATTTGGTTATACTTATAAAAAAATTGAATATATTCTACTTAGTTAATTACCAATTTATTTCCATTCATTTTGTCGAGCGCTTCAAGTAAAGCTACATACAGTTACACATGGTTTAGCACACAGTAACAAAACAGATGCATAAGCCGGTCAAACAAAGACACAATTGAAGTAATTACAACAAAGAGGACAAAGCAGAGGACGCTTTGAAGCGCGACTGTGATAACCTCATCATTATGCAGCAGTGATTCGTTTGCGCGAAAAAAAAAGAAGTGTTTATATACATACACAAGGTTCGCGATTCAAAATAGCTTGTGTTTTTTTCGTTCGCCCTTCGCCGTGGGCATTATTAAAAATGAATAAACCAGAGTTGAAAATCGTGTTTCTCGATTTGGTAACGTCCGCGGAAAGCATCTCTCCTCGCCTGACCTGATTTTTTTCCTGCCGGAAATACACGTCATATTGTGTAAAAATGTGAGTGGTGTTGGTAATATTCATTGTCTCATGATTTCATAATTTGTAAAGTGAAAACTACTTTTCAACAAAAACAATTTTTGTTTACATAAACACATCTTACAGTTAGTTATGAATTTGATTTCGTGAATGGAAAACTAAAATTCCATAAAAAATATTTTTTTTTTTCAAAAATTATATTTACTTAAAAACTATAATACTTTAAATTAATTGTAGGAAATAATTAATATTTTTGTGTAGAAATATTAATGACCCGCTGACCCAAATAAAGACTAAACAAATGTGTAAATAAATAATAATATTTTTTGATATAAAATGAAAAGTAGTATTTTTAAGTTTACTAAATAATTATCAGTAAAGTTAGTACATCTCTCAACTAGTTTATATAGAAGAGGATAAATGTCCTTGATTTTATTACACTGAAGACCTTAGCTGGTATAAAGAGTGTTCACCGTTTTTCGGTCCATTGAATTTACTTGAAAATATTTCGCCATCGTTCATCATTCAAGCCTGAAACGATTCCCGGGACATTCTAATCGCCGACCAAATATTTCAGATCTGCTTCCTCTTTAAGTCGTACAAGGATGCAAATGGGGTCCAATAAAAGGAAATGTACGACCGGGAAATAAATAACACGGTTATTTTCTGCTCGAGAGCAACCGAGAGAACAATGCGAAAAAAGATAGATTAATAACCAGGGAATCTTCGCAAAAACGCCAATTACAGTCGAATTATTTGGTTTCTGCGTTTGTCAGAAATTAGTCTCTTAAAGAGAGATGACAAGTATAAAAAACCGCTTTTAATCGCTTTAGCTTCGAGTTATTAGAATACTTTTAATAAATGCGTGGAGGAGCAGATGCGGTTCAAAATTAAAGATAAAAACGTGATCGCATCGAGGGAGCAAAAAGAGCCGTTAGGTTTTGATTTATGCGACTTATTTTTGTTTAGCCGGCTTCGTCGGAAATCAATGCGAGTTAAATAAGTCAGGATTCGATTGCCAATGTAAATCTGTGCTCTTTCCGCGCGCTTTTTCTGCATTCTCTTTCTCTCTTTCACTTCTTTCTTTTTTTTTTCTTCACGT